ATGTTTGAGTTCAGGACGTCACCTCCTCGTTCCATCTCCTCTCATTCCATGGAAGGTGTCCTTGCCCTTGGCAGGGTTGGGTTGGATGACCTTTAATGTTGCTTCCAGCCCAAATCATTCCATGATTCTGTGATTATATTCTGATTGTTTTTTGCTTCCTGGACTCTTACACTGAATTTTGGTTTCAATTCCTGTCTGTTTTCTTGGACAGCAATGACAATGTCACACAGTTTTTAGGACTGGATGTGAAAATGGGACTGAACCCCTCACAGCGACCCCAAGTAGTTTAACCTTTCCATGGCAGCTCTGACAGGGTTTTTCTGATGGAAAAGGTTGTTACAAGAGCACAAAAAGGGGAAATGTTTGAGTTCAGGACGTCACCTCCTCGTTCCATCTCCTCTCATTCCATGGAAGGTGTCCTTGCCCTTGGCAGGGTTGGGTTGGATGAGCTTTAAGGTCCCTTCCAGCCCGAACCATTCCATGATCCTGTGATTATAAATCTGATTTCACCTTTGGAACCCAAAAATCCTTAAAGTTTCAGCTGATCTGAGTTGCCCTTTTCTTCTTTAATTTTTTTTTCTCTGATTAGAAATATTCTAAATAAATTTTCTTTAGTTCTAAAATCAAGCAATTAATTATAATTAAATCTTTCCCACCCTGCCCATTGTCCACACCCCCAAATTTAAATTTGCCTTAATTATTTGAGACCTTTTAAATGCTTTTGAGCCTTCACCTCGAGGGGGAGAAAACTTCAGGCAGGGTTGGTTTGGTAGCTTTGAAGTTGGTTGTGCTTCCAGTTGGAATATTCCTGGTGCTGCATCCTCCAGGGATCCCAGGAATTCTGGGAATACGTAGGGATCCCTTCTCTCTGGGTCATTTTTAACCTCTGACTCCACTGTCTGGTGGATTATCCCTGACTGGGAGCTTCCTGGAGCTGATGGAAAGCTTCCCTTTGACTCCAGTGCTGTGGGTGGTGGTCTCTGGAAGGAATATTTTTCGGGATTGAGTTTGTTTTGGCAGGAAACCGCTCAGGAGGTTTTTTATCAGCCAGAGACACCTTTTAAGGTGTCTAATTAAAAATTAACAAAAGAAAAAAAAAGAGACTGCAATTCCCACTAAAGCTTGGCACTTGTGGAAGCATTTTCTACCTCCTTTGTTTGGTGAGAGACTTAATCAAAGCTGTTGGCAAATGGGAAAAGGTGAAGCCTTTAAATATTGGGATTTACGGATTCTGTTCCGAGTTGGACACCGGAAAAAGGGGTTCGGAAAACAAGAGCAAAGCCACCTCGGTATCTGGTGGAAATTAAGTACTTATGGAATGAGCTGGAGCAAGAATCATGGAATCATAGAATCATGGAATCAACCAGGTTGGAAAAGAGCTCTGAGGTCATCGAGCCCAACCCTCGCTCCGAGCCCGCCGTGGTTCCCAGCCCATGGCGCTGATGCCACATCCAGCCTGTCCTGAAACACCTCCAGGGACGGGGAATCCACCCCCTCCCTGGGCAGCCCATTCCAAGGGCTGAGCACTCTCCAGGGAAAGAATCCCTTCCCCACATCCCACCTGAACCTCCCCTGGCCCAGCTGGAGGCCCAGCCCTCTTGTCCTGCTGCTGCTTCCTGGGAGCAGAGCCCCATCCCAGCCGGCTCCCCGCTCCTGGCAGGGAGTTGTGCAGAGGGATGAGGTCTCCCCTGAGCCTCCTCCTGTCCAGGCTGAGCCCCCCCAGCTCCCTCAGCCTCTCCTCATGGGAATTGTGCTCCAGCCCCTTCCCAGCCTCGCTGCTCTTCCCTGCCCCTGCTCCAGCCCCTCCATGTCCTTCCCGAGCTGAGGGCCCAGAGCTGGGCACGGCACTCCAGGGGTGGAGAATCCCTGCCCTGCTCCTGCTGCCACGCTCTGCCCGAGCCAGGCTGGGATCCATCGGCCCTCTCGGCCCCCTGGGCACCCTCTGGCTCCTGTTGAGCTTCCTGGCCATCCCAACTCCCAGCTCCCTTCCCGCCTGGCTGCTCTCCAGCCCCTCTGGAGCTGCCAAAGGGCAGGACCCACCCTTGGCCTTGGGGAACCTCATCCCGTTGGGATCAGCCCGTGGATCCCGCCTGGCCAGGTCCCTCTGCAGAGCCCTCCTGCCCTCCAGCACATCAACAACTCCCCCAGCGTGGTGTGCCCTGCAGATGTGCTGGTGGTGGATCCATCCCCTCCTCCGGATCATCCACAGGGACATCAAACAGACCTGAGTTTAAGGCTTAAACTCAGAGTTGAAGGAATAAGTAGGAAAATACATGGATTTTCTGATGAAGGCCGGTGTTTCCGGGACGGGTGGCTGCAGGTGCTGACGTCAAACGTGGGGAGGGCGTGAAGTGCCGAAATTCAGGGTGGGATTGGACCTGACCTCGTCCCTCCTGACCTTGCCTGGGCCGGGTGGTTTTCACCTCCCTCCCTTTTGCCTCCCATCTGCAGCGTGAATCAGGGAGGGATTCAGAGCCCTGCCTGGTGAATCATACCGGCTTTTGTGCTCAGGCCTGTGGGGAATATCCACTCACAACCTCGCTGGGAGCCCTTTTTTTCCCCTCTGGAGTGGTTGATGTGCCTCTTGTACCTCGCTGGAGACGCAGCGTCGCTTCCTTTCCTTCGATGCCCTTGGCCTGAGCACTCCCCTCACGCACCATCCTCCCGTTCCTTCTTTCACAGCAGCTTTTGTTGTCCTTGTGCCACCCACAGAAGGTGGAATTTGGGTTGTTGGGGGACAGGAGGATTTGGAATTACTCTCTGACCTCTATGACCTGGGATTGCACACCCAGTGCCCGGCTCGAGAATCAGAGCAGTGATTTGTGATTTGTCCTTTCCATCTCCCTTCGCTTCTGGAGCATCGGATGCTCCTCAGGGCCGGCACAGGAGGAGTGGGAAGGCTGGTCAGGGAAGGGCAGGGCGTGTCAGCCTTCCCTGGAGATGCCCCTCGGAGCAGAGGGCAGTTTCCCATGGTTGGTTTCAGGAGATCCATCAAACAGAGGTGATGGTTTCCTGCTGTCAGATCTGACCTTGGCTCCTTGTTGGGAGTTGGACTCGATGATCCCTGTGGATCCCTTCCACATTCTCCACATCCCAGTTGGGTTCTCCAACCCAGCCTCACAAAAGAGAAGGGTTCTCCCCAAAACTCTCACTCTGGGGAGGTGGCTTTGACTCATCCCGGTCATGGATCCATCAGGAATCGGTGCTGGCACGAGGTTGGGAGCTGGAAGTGTGGCCAGGGGGATGGATCCATCCCATCTCCTGCCACTGGAGCTGCAGCACCAGCCAGCCCAGAGGGCCTCAAAGGAGTCGTTTGTGTCCTGTGCCCACAGTTGGTGATGATTTTAGGGTTAGTTGTGAGGAAGGAATTCTTTGGGATGAGGGTGGGGAGGGCCTGGCCCAGGTTGCTCAGAGAAGCTGTGGCTGCCCCTGGATCCCTGGGAGTGTCCAAGGCCAGGCTGGATTCCCTTGGAGCAACCTGGGATAAGGGGAGATGTTGGGGTTGGAACAGGATGAGCTTTAAGGTCCCTTCCAGCCCGAACCATTCCATGATTCTGTGATTATATTCTGATTGTTTTTTGCTTCCTGGACTCTTACACTGAATTTTGGTTTCAATTCCTGTCTGTTTTCTTGGACAGCAATGACAGTGTCACAGTTTTTAGGACTGGATGTGAAAATGGGACTGAACCGCTCACAGTGACCCCAAATCGTGTGACCTTTCCATGGCAGCTCTGCCAGGGTTTTTCTGACTGAAAAGGTTGTTGCAAGGGCACAAAAAAGGGAAATTTGAGTTCAGGACGTCACCTCCTCATTCCATCTCCTCTCATTCCATGGAAGTTGTCCCTGCCCGTGGCAGGGTTGGGACTGGATGAGCTTGAAGGGAACGGCTTCCCACTGCCAGAGGGCAGGGAGAGGTGGGAGATTGGGAAGGAATTCTTGGCTGGGAGGGTGGTGAGAGGCTGGGATGGGTTTCCCAGAGAAGCTGTGGCTGTCCCTGGATCCCTGGCAGCGTCCAAGACCAGGTTGGAGCCACCTGGGATAGCGAGACGTGTCGGGGTTGGAACTGGACGAGCTTTAAGCTCCCTTCCCACCCCAAACCATTCCATGATTTTGGATAACTGGTGAAGCACTTCAGCAGCAGCTGGTGAGATCACACCAACCATTAACTCACCTCAACAAACCTGTGTGGGGTTTTTATTCCATGCTGGAGAGCGGGATCGAGCCGTGGATACCCAATATTCCACACTCCCATCCAACCTGAGCCCTGACCCATGTCATCACTTCACTCAATTCACTGCTTGCTTGGTTCAAGGGAGGAAGGGGGGGGGGAGGGCTCGCCCGCCTTTTTGAGTTTATTCTTCTGTTTATTTTGCAAGCAATTTAATTTTAATTGTCATCACGGGGGGGGTGGGGGAAGAAAACGGGATTGGAGCGGCGGGAACGAAGCAGGAGCTGCGCTTCCTCCCGCCCTTCCCCGGGCCTGCTGAGAACACCTCAGTGCAGAAGAAAATCTGTTTGTTCTTCATTGCTATTCAAATGATGTGGCCCAGACACATTGATTAATCTCCAAGTGTGGCCTGCTGAGCGATGGGAGATAAGCACCCTCGCTGCTATTGTTCTAATTCCGAGCACAGTCTGTGACAATAAACGCCGCAATATCCATTGAATTCCTGCTGAAAGGTACGAGCAAATGCACAGATTTGACTCTCGGGTGTTGCCATGTGGATATTTCTTTTTTTTTTTTTTGTCTTCCTTCCTTAATGTCTTTTTTATTTTTCTTTTCTTTTCTTTTCTTTTCTTTTCTTTTCTTTTTTTCCAAACCCGCTCCTCTCGTTTCCAAACCCAAAACGCTCCCAACCCGGGAATTCTTAAAACACCCCCCCCACTTCCAGTTACCTTTTGCAAAACCCAGCTGGAAATCAGCTTTGTTCCAAAAAAAATGTGCTTTCTCTTTGCCCTGACCCCTGTTTTTTATGGTTTTTTTTATTCCCTTCCTGCAGGAGTTTTTCGAGAATCCCGCTTTTCGCCCCGACGGGATGAAGCTCTACCCGACCCTGGTGATCCGTGGCACGGGTCTGTACGAGCTCTGGAAAACTGGCAGATACAAGAGCTACCCCCCCAGCACTCTGGTGGATCTGGTGGCCCGAATCCTGGCCCTTGTTCCCCCCTGGACTCGCGTGTACCGTGTCCAGAGGTAATTTTTCCGTGCCTACGGATCCGCCGCGCTGCCGAAGGGATCCGGAGGGTTTACGGCGTTAGATCTGACTCAGCCTTTTATTGTTTCTCATTAATTCACTGAAGGTCTTTCAAACTGCTTCAGGTTGGGTTTTTTTGGGTTTTTTTAAACACCTCTTCAGGAGGATGAGGAGCTCTTCAGGTGCAAACTCCGCGTCCGGTGCACCCGGAAATTTCTGGAGGCTCAGCCAGACAAGAGCCTGGGATGCAGCCCGTTAATGATCCCGAGGGATAATTGCCTCTTGGCTGTGGGGGGAACATTCCTCTCTCTCTCTGTGGCAGGAGCTGTGTCATTTTTTCTGGCTGTAGAGACTTCCTTTCCCTCCCCGTGGGCGTTGCAGGGTTTTCAGGAACGTTCCGTGGCGGTGCCGTCATTCCCAGGATTAGGGATAATCATTCCATCAGCAGTGTGAGGTCTTCCTTGGGTTATTTTGCTTCTGTTATCTCCTAAATCTACCTGATAACAGGAAGGGAAGGTTGTAAGCACTTCCCTGGTTTTTTTGCATGCACGGACAACGCTCCGTTGGCTCCCGGCTCCGGGAGTTGGAAACGGCTCCAGGAGTTGGAATCGGCTCCAATCCCGGGCTCTCCAAGAGGAGAGCGAGGATTGAGAGACCTCACCTGCCTGGGCTTCTCCAAAGGATTTGATTCTGTGCCTGGTTGGAAGGGTGGCAGAGTGGGGATGAGCAGAGAAACGTGGCAGAGAAGGAAGTGACCGAAGGAAAGCTGGGAAGCTCAGACGGAGAAATCCTGGATTCAGGGATAAGGGTGGGGGTTCAAAAATGCCCATTTTAAAAACTAATCTTGCTCCAAAGTGGCACAGAAAAATAAGGCACTGGGGAAAGCTTGGAGGGCTGGGAAGCATCGCTGGAAGAAGGGGGAGGATCTGCTGGTGGCAAAGCTGGGATGGGAGATGGGATACAGGGAATTTTGGCATCAAACTCCCAGGGGTTTTGCTGTAAATCCCGGGATCAGCATAACAGAGGAGGAAAAGTTCTTGATGTCTTGGTCTGGAGTAGGAGAAACCACAGGGGAATGCAGCCATGACAGGCTTTTTTTTTTCAGGATAAACTCCTTTTGGAGATGGAAGTGTTGGATGCAGCAGCCAGAGCAGGCTTTGGGAATGCCTTGTGTGGGATCCATCCCCATCTTCAGGATGGGAATACGTGCAGGGCAGCATCAGTCTTCTTTTTATTTTTAGAAGGACAGATGTGGACATAAATGACCTCTGAGAGGAGGAAAATCATGGAATCACATGGAATCACACATGGTTTGGGTTGGAAGGGACCTTAAAGCTCATCCCATTCCAACCCCCTGCCATGGGCAAGGGAACATTTTAAGAAATAACCCTTGGAGGAATTAACCTTTTGAGGAAACAGGAACATAGATTTGAACAGAGAAGAAGAAAACAAGGAGTAGCCTGGCCTGAAACGAGGCAGGAAAGTGGGAATTTTTGGGTCAGGGTGGAATGGAATGGCAAGGACGAGGGAATGGAACGAGAAGGACAAGTGGGAGGTGTCCCAGCCCATGGATTTATGAGCTTTGGGGTCTTTTCCAGCCCTTATTTTTATTCCCAACACTTAAGAAAAGCTCCTTTTCCTCGCCCCCCTCAGACTCACAGAGGCTGAAGCTGCACAAGGATCAGGCCTTTGGGATCCTGGGAGACCTTTACCTTTAATAGGATTAAAAAGTAGGAATTGCCCAAAGTAGGAATTACCAAAAAATAGGAACAAATTGCCCCAAAACAGGAATTGCCAACCATAGGAATTGTGAATGGGGGTTTGGTGTGAAAACAATTCCACAGGGAACTGAATGGATCCGTTGGTGTCAGGTATCTGATGGATCCCCTGATCCAATTAAATTTAACCCCAAATCATTTGATGAGGGGGACTTTTTTTCCCTTTCAAGCAGCTAAAATATGGAGGAGTTCTAATCCCACTGGATTTTTTCCCTGGTGGACATTCTGGGTTTCCAGCAGCAGATTCCATGAGGAACATCTGACCTGGAGCCTTAGGAAAAGCTGGATGATCCTTTTTTTTTTTTCATTTCCCCCCAGACTCCCAAGAACTGAGAACAAAATTAACGGTTTTTATACTTTTCATTTTTTTTTTAATTGCTAAAGCCAACTTTTTTATAATAATTTTTTAAATCTAAATAAAACCTGAAGCTTTTTCCTCACTTTTTCTCCTGCTTTTAGTTGTGTTTTGCCTGTTTTATTCAACCGAGGGGCTTCAAACCGAGGGGAATTCTGAGGAATTCTGGGATCTGCCGTTTGGAATCTCGGCTTAGGTGGATATAAAAGTGCTGGAGCTTTCTGGAGGGTTTCATGTTTTCCTTTCCCACGCAGGGATATCCCGATGCCACTGGTGAGCTCCGGGGTGGAGCACGGGAACCTGAGGGAACTCGCCTTGGCCAGGATGAAAGATCTCGGGACACAGGTATAAAAAAAACACCACAAATAAACAAATAAAAGAAATAAAAATCCCATTGGGGGGTGGAGGAGGAGCTGCCTGATGGCTTTGCACAGAGACAAAAACATCTTAATGACTGAAAAAGCGCTTTAATGACCCTTCTGAAAAGCTGCTTTTGTTTGGGTGGCTGGGAAGTTCAGAGCTTTCACCCCGCCCCTCAACGAGTTTGTGATATTCCTCTTTTTTTTTGGTTTTTTTGGAGGGGAATGAAGCCCTAAATGAAAAAGAGGAGGCAGGAAAAGGTTCCTTTGTCATTTGTGCCGTTGGAAACTCTCCTTCCTTTCCCTTTTTCCCAATGGGAAGGAAGACTCTCAGTCGGAGCTCCCTCCCAAGGAGGGATCTTGCAGGAGAGGTTCCAGCCCAAACCAAAAAGGAGGCTCGATATTCCCGATATTCCTGAGGTGGAATAAAAACACGGGGAGGAGGAGGAGGAGGCAGGAATTGGGCTTGTTTTTGCAACCAGGAGGGATGGATCCCCAACTTTTTTTCCCTGTAGTGTCCCCCCCCACCCTGCTCTGCTCTGCCCTTTCCCCCTCTCCTGTAAAGTTGTGCCCCAAGTTCTTCTTCCTTTTTCTTTTGGGATGTCCCATTTCCTGGAAAAAAAACCGTGGCACAACACTGAGGGTGCCCAGAGAAGCTGTGGCTGCCCCTGGATCCCTTGGAAGCGTCCAAGGCCAGGTTGGATGGGGCTTGGAACAACCTGGGATGGTGGGAGGTGTCCCTGCCCACGGCAGGGGGTGGGAATGGATGGTTTTTAAGGTCCCTTCCCACCCAAACCAGTTTGGGATTTGATGATTCCATGGGAGCTGGGATGACTCCAGGCTGGGGTTCTCAGTCTCCCAGCAGATAAATCCTGTGGGATGCAGCAGCTCCAGGGAATTCAAGGAAAACACTGAGCTCCAGGGAGAGCTTGGAGCCCCTTCCAGAGCCTAAAGGGGCTCCAGGAGAGCTGGAGAGGGATTTGGGACAAGGCATGGAGGGACAGGACACAGGGAATGGCTTCCCACTGCCAGAGGGCAGGGACAGATGGGATACTGGGAAGGAATTCTTGACTGTTAGGGTGGGGAGGGAGTGGACTGGAATTCCCAGAGGAGCTGTGGCTGCCCCTGGATCCCTGGAGTGTCCAAGGCCAGGTTGGAGAAACCTGGGATAATGGAAGCTGCTCTTTCCTGTCCATTCCAACCCAAACCATTCCATGATTCAATTCCAAAGGGCTTTGATTGCTCTGCTGTGTGGGCAGGGTCACATCCCCACCACGAGTTTTCCTGTGAGGATTCAGGGCTTCCCTCTTTCCAGCTCCCCCTTCTTTTCAAGAGCTTTGAAGGCACCTCTGCATCCAGGACGTGTAAATTCCCTGGTTGCTGCCCATATCCCTGGATTCCCACACCAGTCTATGCCACTAGCCCGTGTTTTTTGGGATTTAACAGGGATAATCCTCCAGGCTACCTCTGCCCGTGCCATCTCACTTGGATCTTGCCAAGGGAAGGAACTCCGGGCTCTTCCCCTCCCAGCTGGGCTCTCCATCCCACTTAATCTTTCTCCCTTAAGCTGCTACCCTGGACTTTTCTCCTTCAATCATCCCCCCACCCACTCCAGCCTCTCTCCAGAGGGTCAGCCAGGATTTGGAGCTTCCATCCCCTCCCTCTGCCGGGATCTTCACTTCACATCCCGGCAGGGGAGGGAACGGAGCTCTTGGGGTCTCCTGGTGGAACCTCCTCCCCTGGCTTTACCGCTCTAAACCCACATCACTTTCCATCCCAAACCTGGTGGGGACCAGCTGGAAAAGCTGGGAGGAGAAGCCTGATCCGTGGGGCTCAGCTGGAGCTTCGAGAGGAGCCGTGATCTGTAAATATCTCTGCTGGGAAGATGATTACGGGGTTTAATTTAGCGAGGCAGAAACTCTGCAGCTGCTGGGAAGCAGGAACCGAACAATCTGCTGCAGTGCAGCTTGAAAGGAGAGGTGACTGCTGTGCTTTCTCCTCGGGTCAGAGGAGAAAACTATAAATAGTTTTCCTCCCAGCTTGGAAAAGGAGAGGGGAAAGGACTTGGAGGAATCTCGTGGCTTGTAGGGGGGGGGACTTGTAGGAATCTCGTGTATTTGCGGGCTGGGTGGTGAAGATCAGGCAGCTCAGCAGCTCTGGAATGCATCTCCAGGGAAGGTTTGAGGGCTGGGGAGCAGTTTGGTGTCTGTGGTCGTTGGGAAGAGGTTATTCCCGAGGATTTTTGCCGGACTTTGGGATCGCCAGACGCCGAGCGCAGGTGGAGATGCTCGGTTTGGAACACGGAATTCTAAAGGAAGGTCCCAAAATGCACAGTCACTCCTCAGGTTTGGGGTTCTAAATCAGAGTGGACGTTCCTCTGCTTTTTCCTGGGTTGTTGGTGCAGCTGGAAATTGGAAAGTTGGGATGGGTTTGCCTCCAGCTGGGGCCGGGCCCTGGTGGTTCCTCAGGGCTCAGCAGCCGGGAACGGTCCCGTTTAATCCTCAGGGATGTTCTGGGATCACCCTCGGGCAGGGATGGGTGGGATGTGGATCTGCTGGAGATCAGGATGATCTGCAGAGGGATGTGGACAGGCTGGATCCTTGGGATGGATGTGGGATGGATGGGCCGAGGCCACGTGCCGGGAATTGCAGGTGGGGCACCACAATCTCCAAGGAATTGTGGCCGGGGGAAGAGTGGCTGGAAAGATGGGAAAAACCCTGGAGGTGCTGGACACGAGGTGGGCAAGGGGGCCAAGGGCTGTCCCAGCCCTGGTGTGGATGCTGGATGTTCCCAGTCTTTGCTGTTCCCAGAGTTAAGGCCTGAAACCTCCTGCCCAGGACTCCTTAAAATTCCCACCTGGTGCTTCCCACAGAACTCCAGGCGCTTTTTCCAGGGCGAGTTGTCCCAGCCCTGGTGTGGCTGCAGCACCAGGGAAGGGATTGTCCCCCCTGGGGCACCTCCAGGGCTGGGGGCAGAGCTGGGACACTCCCAACAAGGGGCTGGAGCATTTCCAGGGAAGGGAACGGAGCTGGGAAGGGGCTGGAGCAGCAGGAATATCTCAGGGAGCTGGGAGGGGCTCATCCCAGAGAAAAGAGGGATCAGGAGGGACCTTTTCCAGCCCCACAACTCCCTGCCAGGAGGGGGAAGCTGGGGGGGTGTCCCCAATTCCCAGGGAACAAGGGCCAGGAGGAGAGGGAACGGCCTCCAGCTGGGCCAGGGGAGGGTCAGATGGGATACTGGGAACGATTCCCACCTGGAAAGGGCTGTCAGGCACTGGAATGAACTTCCCAGGGCAGGGCTGGATTCCCCATCCCTGCAGGGATTCCCAATCCCTGGGGATGTGGCCCTTGGGGACAGGGGGCAGGGCTGGCCTGGGCAGTGCTGGGGGAACAGCTGCACTCAGAGGACTTTTCCAACCTCACCAATTCCAGGATTCTTTGCTGTAGGATCCCGGTCCAACCCTGAGCCCTGAGTTTATCACACCCCACTCCAAAACCCAGACACAACCCCTCCCCCCTCCATTTTTCCTATTATTTTGTGAGATCTTGGCTTTATGCTGATAATTGAATTTAAAAGCCTTCAGAAGCAGGGCATGAGGCAGAGCTGAGCTTGCTCCCAGTGCCCTGAGTTTCTGTGTGAATTGGATTTTCACACCTTCCTTCCCTGTCTTTAAGTGCCTGGCTTTTGGAATCACGGGGGCAAGGTGGGTGTTGGTGCAATTTTAACCCGCTGGTGGAGGTTATTAATGGCTCTAAAGTGACACAGGGCAGGGTTGGAGGGGGTATTGGGAAGAAACTCTTCCTTGTGAGGGTGCTGAGGCCCTGGGATGCAATTCCCAGAGAAGCTGTGGCTGCCCCATCCATGGAAACATCCAAAGCGAAGCTGGATGGAGCTCTGAGCACCCAACTGGGATGGTGGGAGGTGTCCCTGGATGAGAAACCTGGATGAACCCTCTCCCCACAGCAGGAATTCCCACACTGTCCCAGCTCTCTGCTCACGGCAAAGCCCTCGAATTTTATGGCTTTTTTGCTGAAAACCCTCAGAATTCCAGAAATTCGAGTCCTAACCCATCTTTTAGCACTTGAGCCTCTTCTCTTCCTTTCCAGATTCCTTTCCAGAACTCACCCCAAGTTCCTTGGGGCTGCTGGGTGGGTCGTGTTGGCACTCAGATATTCGGGAATTGCTCCTGGAGCAGCTCCCATTATAAAAATCAAGGAGAGATTTCCTGGGAATCGACCCCTCTCTATTTAAGGCCTCCCCAACGAGTGGATTTTTGCCAGTGTTCCACCTTCCCAGCCCAGGGATGATTCCAAAGTGTCATTTTTCCCTGGATGTCGCCTCTCCCTGCCAGTTGGGGTATCCCAGGGTGCTTTTCCATAAAAGCCAATGGATTTTTTTTGGCCAGCAGGTATTTTCCATCCAGCCCTCTCTCCCAGCTGGATTAAGGCTGGAATGGGGATGGATCACTGATGGATCAGTGATCACTTTTTTACCTGGAAGGCTCCCCCATCCCTGCAACCGTTTTGGACCCCAATATTGCCCCAAAATCTCTGTATTTTGAGCTTCCTGACGGTCTCCTCCGTGATTCCTTTTTCCCAGTGCCGCGACGTGAGGACGAGAGAGGTCGGAATTCAGGAAATCCACCACAAAGTCAGACCTTATCAGGTAAGGTTTGTCTTTTTTATTTTTCTTCCTTCTTTTTTGAAGTCAGAGCCTCTCTTTTCAGACTCGATTTCTTTCCTGGCATTGGGAAAATGCCATTTGTTGCACTTCCAATCCCGTGCTTTGCCGGATCCAATTTTCCATTTATTTCTGCGTGTTCTTGTTCCTTTATTTTTGGGTGTCTGGTTTGAGCACGTGGGGAAATTTATGGGATTTTTATGTGTCCCATAAAGCAACTGCAGCCACTGGTTATTTGGGGGTTTGGTGTAACAGAAGATCTGCCTTTTTTCCTTTGCTCCCTTCCCTAAATTTGGGTTAAAAAAACCCAATAACACCACGTGTTCATTGAGAATTGCAATAAATGTTTTTAGCAGGATGAGTTTAGAGCCCTTTTTTAGGGTGAATCTGCTTGTTTTTTGTAGGCAAAGGGGGTATGTGTAAATACATTTATGCACATGTATGTTTATAGTTATATGTGACGTATTTATTTATATATTTATATATAATTTACTATATACACACAATTATATATATATTTATATATTGTGGTTTTCCCCTCCTAAAATCCTCAAATAGTCCCCAAAAAAGAAACTTTGGAAAGGAAAAGGAAAAGGTTGATTGCATCCAGTTAGGAACTCGTGGAATCCTTGGATGCTTTGGGTTTGGAAGGGACCTTAAAGATATCCAAGAAAGAGCATCTAAATTAAAGCTCCAGTCCCAAGGAGGGACCAATCCTTCCACAGAGGGATCAGGAATTCCGTGGCACCCAAGGAAATGGGGTTTTTAGGAGCACACAGGCCCTGATTTTACTGTCCACGTGTGCTGTGGGTAATTAATCACACCCTGGAAATATTCTCCTCCCCTTCCTTTGCTGGAATTTAAGGAGGGACTGAAACGATTCAGGTGTTGCCTTCGCTTCCAAACAGCTCCAGATATTCCAGGGCTGATCTCCTGAGTGTCCTGAGCTCCAAATATTCCAGGGCTGCTCCCAGCTATTCTGAGCTCCAAATATTCCAGGGGTGTCCCCAGGGATCAGGGGATGGAGCTGCATCCCGCTGGGATCCAGCACCAGTGGTGTCCCCAGGGATCAGGGCCGGGCCCAGCCCTGTTTGATGTCCCTGTGGATGATCCAGAGGAGGGGATGGATCCACCACCAGCACATCTGCAGGGCACACCACGCTGGGGGAGTTGTTGATGTGCTGGAAGGCAGGAGGGCTCTGCAGAGGGACCTGGCCAGGCTGGATCCACGGGCTGATCCCAACGGGATGAGGTTCCCCAAGGCCAAGGGCGGGTCCTGCCCTTTGGCCACAACAACCCCCGGCAGCTCCAGAGGGGCTGGAGAGCAGCCAGGCGGGAAGGGAGCTGGGAGTTGGGATGGCCAGGAAGCTCAACAGGAGCCAGAGGGTGCCCAGGGGGCCGAGAGGGCCGATGGATCCCAGCCTGGCTCGGGCAGAGCGTGGCAGCAGGAGCAGGGCAGGGATTCTCCACCCCTGGAGTGCCGTGCCCAGCTCTGGGCCCTCAGCTCGGGAAGGACATGGAGGGGCTGGAGCAGGGGCAGGGAAGAGCAGCGAGGCTGGGAAGGGTGTAGAGCACAATTCCCATGAGGAGAGGCTGAGGGAGCTGGGGGGGCTCAGCCTGGACAGGAGGAGGCTCAGGGGAGACCTCATCCCTCTGCACAACTCCCTGCCAGGAGGGGGGAGCCGGCTGGGATGGGGCTCTGCTCCCAGGAAGCAGCAGCAGGACAAGAGGGCTGGGCCTCCAGCTGGGCCAGGGGAGGTTCAGGTGGGATGTGGGGAAGGGATTCTTTCCCTGGAGAGTGCTCAGCCCTTGGAATGGGCTGCCCAGGGAGGGGGTGGATTCCCTGTCCCTGGAGGTGTTTCAGGACAGGCTGGATGTGGCATCAGCGCCACGGGCTGGGAACCACAGCGGGCTCGGACTTGGTGACCTCAGAGCTCTTTTCCAACCTGACTGATTCTATGATTCCGTGATTCTGTGGTTCTGTGGCAATCCCAGATAAATTACCCTATTCCTTCCCTATCTCTGCAGGAATTGGGGCTGCCCACACCCCTTTGCAGCCTCCGTGCTCCCCCCCTCATCTGCGGTCCCCTCACGGAGCCTCTCCCCGCCATGTCTGTTTGGCAGCACCGTTGGGGGCTAATCTGATTTAAATTGTAAATTTTTTGGGGAAGGGAGGGGAGATGAGAGGGGGGAGGAGGAGAGCAGTTAGCAAATAGCTTATCACAGGCTTTTCAAAGCAAAATTCCCTTTGTTAGGCTCGTCTGGCTGAGTGGCAGGAGGGTGTCATTATGTAGTCGGAGCGGGAATTTATGGTGACAGCCCGTGGGGAGAGGAATATTTCGGGGATGGCACCAGTTTTTTTTTGGTGTGCTTCAGGCTGATGACAAGGTATACACGATGTTTGTCTTGCCTCTGCAAGTAAACACGTCCTCACATCTCAAATAAATTAATCTGCTCTCCAATTAATCACGGCATTCTGCGGCTCCTTTCCGGGGAGGGCCGGGTGTGTGTATTTTTATAATACATAAGTCTGCTCATCATTTATTTATCCTTTCTAAGTCTGGGGCTTTGAAAAAGCCAATTTGAAGTAGTTTGAGGTTTGGTGGTTGTTGTGGTGGGTTTTTTTTTCCCCCTTTTTGCTGGTTATTTACAGAAGCTGCTTTTTCAATTAGGGGGTTGAGGGAGAGGGAGGGGGGAAGGTGTTTTCTTGCTCCCAGAGTGCTGTGGGATGAGCCTTAAAAAAACCAAAAAACTGCTCAGGTGAATTGTTGGGAGTAAAGAGACGTTGGGAGTGACAGGTTTTTGAGGGGCAGTGACAGCCCTGTTAAGGATATGAAGCTCCATTAAAGGGTGAGGCTTGGAAGCTGCTGCTGCTGCTCCTGGAAAACTCCCCGGGGGTGGGAGTTGGATCCAGATAAGGATAATACAGAGCCTTGGGAAGGAATAAAGCAGATCTTTAGGCTGGGAGTAGCTGGTTTAGGCTGAGTCTAACCTGCAGCTGGGGTTTTGTCTGAAGAAGTTTTTAAAATTAAATGTGCCAGGTGTTTTATAGGATTTTAGAGGGAAGGGGTGACTCGTCCTGATGAGGGATGTTTTAGGGATAAGGGGCTATCCTGGAAGTGCCCAAGGCCAGGTTGGGCGTGGCTTGGAGCAACCTGGGAGAGTGGAAAGTGTCAGGGTTGGAGCAGGGTGGGCTTTGAAGTCCCATCCCACCCAAACCACTGTGGGATTCCGTGACAGGCAGTGGGATTTGCAACGTGGGTGTGTCCCCCAACCACCAAGGAGGTGATTTGGGGTGGCTTTTCCCACAGTTTGGTACCATCTTCCCAGGGGGAAAAAGGTTCTGTGGGAATAACAAACCCCTTGAGTGGATCAGCTTGTCTGGGACGTGTCTTGTGTGGCCATAAAAGTGCCACCATAAAAGGGCTCCTGGTGAAGGCTCCCCGTTTGTCCTGGTCCATCTCTGCCTACAGGTGGATTTTGGAGGGGATTACGTGGAATCTAGCCATGGAATCTTGGAATCCCAGGATGCTTTGGGTGGGAGGGAGCTTTAAAGCTCACCCAGTTCCAACCCCGACACCTCCCACTCTCCCAGGTTGTTCCAACCTGGCCTTGGGCACTTCCAGCCCTGCCCCGTGTCCCCAGGAGCCACATCCACAGGGATTGGGAATCCCTCCTGGAATGGGGACTCCAGCCCTTCCCTGGGAAGTTCATTCCAATGTTTAACCACCATTTCCATGTGGGAATTGTTCCCAGTATCCCACCTGACCCTCCCCTGGCACAGCTGGAGGCCGTTCCCTCTCCTCCTGGCCCTTGTTCCCTGGGAATTGGGAACCCCCAACTCCTGAAACTTCTTCCAGGGGGTTGTAGGAACTGGGACAGTGCCAGGATGGCCCAGAATCCTTAGGGATGGCTCAGGATGGAAAATCCCTCTGGAATTCTGGAGTCCAACCAGCCCAGGCCAGCCCTGCCCCGTGTGCCCAAGGGCCACATCCCCAGGGATTGGGAATCCCTGCAGGGATTGGGAATCCAGCCCTGCCCTGGGAAGTTCATTCCAGTGCCTGACAGCCCTTTCCAGGTGGGAATTGTTCCCAATATCCACCTGCTCCTCCTGGCCCAGCTGGAGGTTGTTCCCTCTCCCCCTGGCCCTCGTTCCCTGGGAGCAGAGCCCGACCCTTCCCTGGATCCATCAGGGAGTTGTAGGAGCCAGAAGGTCCCTCCTGATCCCTCTTTTCTCCAGGCTGAGCCCCCCCAGCTCCCTCAGATATTCCTGCTGCTCCAAACCCTTCCCAGCTCCGTTCCCTTCCCTGGACCCGCTCCAGCCCCTCCATGTCCTTCTTGTCTGAGGGGCCCAGAGCTGCCCCCAGCAAATCCTCCGACTGTTCCCCACCTGGAAAACCTCAGGAAGCCCAGAATCCCGACTCCTTTCGGATCAAAAGCCACTTGAGAAGTTCATTTCCTTCTCTCTGCTCTTCACCCACCATCAGCCAACTCTCCCTTCACTTCTCCCTTCCACCGCTTGGGATCTTCCAGGGATCTTTGGTCTGGCTTGGCACCAAAACCGGGGTTTGAGGCAGATCTTGGGGCGCTTCCCTGGCTGGTTTTGGGGTCTGGAGGAGTGAAAACCCACCTGGGCTGTTGCTGGAGAGACCTGGAGAAGGGAAGGATCCAGGTAGAGCTTGGAGCCCCTTTCAGAGCCTGCAGGGGCTCCAGGAGAGCTGGAGAGGGATTTGGGACAAGGAATGGAGGGACAGGACACAGGGAATGGCTTCCCACTGCCAGAGGGAGATTGGGAAGGAATTCTTCCCTGGGAGGGTGGAATAGAATTCCCAGAGAAGCTGTGGCTGCCTCTGGATCCCTGGAAGTGCCCAAGGCCAGGCTGGATCCACCTGGGATAGCAGGAGGTGTCCCTGCCCATGGAAAGGGGTCGGAACAAGATGATCTTTCGTGTCCCTTCCCACCCAAACCATTCCATGATCCTGTGTCACTCCCAGTCCTTCCTGGGAACCCCATGGACAGGGCCAGGAGCCTGGTGGTGTCCCCTGGGCAAACCCTCTCCGTGGCAGAGCCTCGTGTGTCCCTTGGCCGTGCCTGGCAGTGCCAAAATCCACCTGGAATTTAATTGACCCTTCCGAAGCCGCTCCGTGTTCGCTCTGAATCCCAACACTTTGTCTTTGCTCCATCCAGGATTTCACTCCAGGATTTTTAAAGATGCTTTTTCCCTTTCTTCCCCCCTCTTTGTCTTCCTCCCCTCCCTTTCCCAGATCGAGCTGATCCGAAGGGATTACGTGGCCAACGGGGGCTGGGAGACCTTCCTGTCCTACGAGGATCCCGAGCGGGACATCCTGGTGGGGCTCCTGCGGCTCCGGAAATGCTCCGAGCAATCCTTCCGGCCGGAGCTGAGGGCTGGAGTCTCCATCGTCCGGGAATTGCACGTCTATGGCAGCGTGGTCCCCGTCAGCAGCCGGGATCCCTCCAAATTCCAGCACCAGGTACTCCAAACCCTCTTTATTTTCCTTGTTTTCCCTTATTTTCCTTCCCCTCGCACGACCTGGTTTTCCGATTTACGCTTGGAGCTTCTTCTCCTCTTCCCAGTTTTTTTTTCTTTTCCCTTCCAGCATTTACAGCTGGAGAGAATGAAATAAAAAATAAATAAAATAAATAAAATAATAAAAAAAAAAAACCCCACAGCTTTTCTGAGGGTTTTTTGGAGGTGTTTTGTGTCCCCCCCGCCACTGGCTTTTGATTTCCTTCTCCCGGTTAATTCCTGCTCAGCAGCGGAATTTCCCTGGAATCTGAACTAATTACAGGGGTTTTGTTTGGTCCTCCCCAATTTCCTTTCAAAGGAAGGTTTATTCAGTGGATTTTTCCCACCAAAAAAACCAGAAGGAATCCGGTTTTCTGCTTGAAGAAGCTGCAGACTCCCCATCCCTGGAATTATCCCAGGGACAAGGCTGGGAACGAGGCTTGGAGCAAGCTGGGATGGTGGAATTGGATGAGCTTTAAAATTCCAACCCAAAACCATTCCATGATTTAGCAGAACCTTCCTTAGGTTGTTTTTTTTTCCCCCCCTCCGGAGAAGGCGCCGTGCATCCCTCCAAACACCGGGAATAAAGGCCTGGAAAGCCGCTTCTCCTTCCTTGTAGGAAAAAAATCTCACATTTACCCCCCCCTTGCTGCCTGGAACGTGCCAGGACTTGTGTGAATTAAATTCCACCCTGAAACCTTCTAGGCTTGGAGCTTTGGAAAGCAGATCCCGGTGGCCTGAAGTGCTCAGGGAGGGGTGTGGGGGGGGGAGATGAATTTTTAAATTAATCCCTGGTGGAGGATTCATTTTTGCCCACGGGAGGTGCCCTGAGATGATGGTTTTTGTCCTCCACGCTGACAGAAATATCAGGGAGGAGGGGGGGAAGGAAAAAAATATATGGAAAAGTGGATATTTCTGCCATGGAACCGTTTCAGAGCTGAATATTTGGGAGGGGGACAGAAAAATCAGGAAGGAAAATAAAAGAGATTTGACCAAAAAGGGGCTGAGCACGGATGTGGAAGCGGCTGGAAGTTGGAATTCCGTGTTCTGTCAGCACTCAGGAGGTTGTGCCTCGGCCACGGGGGGGATTCCTGATCAGAAGGATCGTCATTTTTTAGGGATGAAGATCCCTGTGTGCTCTTTAAAAAGATTTTGAGGTGTTTTCCAGTCAGAGAATCCTGGGATGGTTCGGGTGGGAAGGGACCTCAAGGATCATCCTGTTCACAATCCCGGCAGCTCCCGCTATCCCAGACTGCTCCAAGGGGATCCAACCCGGCCTGGGACACTCCAGGGATCCAGGGGCAGCCACAGCTTCCCTGGGAATTCCAGCCCAGCCGGGAATCCCTTCCCAATCTCCCACCCCAATCTCCCCTTTCCCAGTGGGAAGCCATTCCCTGTGTCCTGCCATTCCAGGCCCTGATCCCAAATCCCTCTCCAGCTCTCCTGGAGCCCCTGCAGGCTCTGGAAGGGGCTCCCAGCTCTCCCTGGATCCTTCCCTGCTCCAGCCTGGCCATTCCCAGCTCTCCCAGCCTGGATCCAGAGCCTGACATTGGATCCATGCCCAGCCCAACTCCTCTCTGGGAAGGAGTTCCGGGAACAAGGGGGGGTTCCCTGGGAATCTCGGCACTCAGGGAAGGGTCTCCCTTCCCCTTTCCCGCCTTTCCCATCCCCACATTCCATAAAAACCCCACAGGATCTCATTCCTGTGCTGAAAGGGATGAATCCCTTAGAACTGAGCCGGTTCTTGTTCCGACCTTTCTGTTTTTACGGAACTCTTCACCTTTTCCCCCCTGTCGTTTCTCCCATTTACAGGGATTTGGGATGTTGCTGATGGAGGAGGCGGAGAGGATCGCCAGGGAGGAGCACGGGTCGTGGAAAATTGCTGTGATTTCAGGTACCTTTATCCCTTTTTTTTTTTATATATATAAATCTATATATAAATATCTTAATCTGAAAATAAACCCGCTCCAACCACTGGGAGCGTTCCCGGCGTGAGGCAGAAAATAAGGATCAGCTCAGGGAGCCAAATTCCACTGTGGATTTATCCAGACAACCCCACTATGGTGAGAGGACACTCCCCAGGGATCCATCCCTGAAGGACAGGGATTTGTGTGACCAGGAGGAGGGGTTTTCCATCCCCCAGATCCCATTCCCATCCTCAGGTTATCCCACTGATCCCTGAGGGTGTTTGTCCAGGTGTTCCTTGAGCTCTGAGAGGTTTGGGAAGTGCCTCATTCCCTGGCTCTGGGAAGTTTGGGAAGTGACCATTCCCTGGCTCTGGGAGGTTTGGGAAGTGCCCATTCCCTGACTCTGGGAGGTTTGGGAAGTGCCTCATTCCCTGGCTCTGGGAGGTTTGGGAAGTGCCTCATTCCCTGGCTCTGGGAGGTTTGGGAAGTGCCCCATTCCCTGGTTCTGGGAGGTTTGGGAAGTGCCCATTCCCTGACTCTGGGAGGTTTGGGAAGTGCCCATTCCCTGGTTCTGGGAGGTTTGGGAAATCCCCATTCCCTGGCTCTGGGAAGTTTGGGAAGTGCCCATTCCCTGGCTCTGGGAGGTTTGGGAAGTGCCCCATTCCCTGTCTCTGGGAGTTTTGGGAAGTGCCCCATTCCCTGGCTCTGGGAGATTTGGGAAGTGCCCGTTCCTTGAGCTCTGGGAGTTTTGGGAAGTGCCCCATTCCCTGTCTCTGGGAGTTTTGGGAAGTGCCCATTCCCTGGCTGTGGGAGGTTTGGGAAGTGCCCCATTCCCTGGCTCTGGGAGGTTTGGGAAGTGCCCCATTCCCTGGCTCTGGGAGGTTTGGGAAGTGCCCCATTCCCTGGCTCTGGGGGGTTTGGGAAGTGCCCCATTCCCTGGCTCTGGGAGGTTTGGGAAATGCCCATTCTCTGGCTCTGGGAGGTTTGGGAAGTGCCTCATTCCCTGACTCTGGGAGGTTTGGGAAGTGCCCATTCCCTGGCTCTGGGAGGTTTGGGAAGTGCCCCATTCCCTGGCTCTGGGAAGTTTGGGAAGTGCCCATTCCCCAACTCTGGGGGGTTTGGGAAGTGCCCCATTCCCTGGTTCTGGGAGGTTTGGGAAGTGCCCCATTCCCTGACTCTGGGAGGTTTGGGAAGTGCCCCATTCCCTGGCTCTGGGAGGTTTGGGAAGTGCCCCATTCCCTGGCTCTGGGAGGTTTGGGAAGTGCCCCATTCCCTGACTCTGGGAGGTTTGGGAAGTGCCCCATTCCCTGGCTCTGGGAGGTTTGGGAAGTGCCTCATTCCCTGGCTCTGGGAGGTTTGGGAAGTGCCCATTCCCTGGCTCTGGGAGGTTTGGGAAGTGCCTCATTCCCTCTGGGGGTGGTAAATAATTCAGATTATAATCTCTTTATAATTTAATGATCCAATATAGATGATGATATTGCTGAGGAAACAGGGATTGCAGGGGGAGAGAACCCCTTGCTGGCAGAAAATCAATGTATGGGGGGGAGTGGATTTCATGGAATAACTTCCAGAATAATTTCCAACAACTCTTACTGAAAGCACACCACTCACACGGGAGGTTTTCTTAATTCCTTGCCTGTTTTTCACCCCCTTTTGTCACTTTATTGCCTATTTTGGATGTAAAACCACTCTTTAATCTGCATTTCCCTTCATCTGCATGGAGGTAAAGACCTTCTTTTTTTAAAAAAAATAATCATTTCCTGCCGTCCCACCAAAAACAACCCAAAAATGAAAGATCCACAGCTTTGATCCAAGCTCTGGAATGTCCCCTGGATGTTGGAAAGCCAATGTGGATCCTCTCCAAGTCCTTGTGAGCCAAAGGAGCCAGAGGCTCGCTGATGGTTTTATATTCCCTGGATTCCCTGTTTCTCTGGGCTGGGCTGGAATTCCCAGGGAAGCTGTGGCTGCCCCTGGATCCCTGGAAGTGCCCAATCCCGAGGTTGTTGGAGCAACCTGGGATAGTGGGAGGTGTCAGGGTTGGAACTGGATGAGCTTTGATGCCCCTTCCCAGCCCAAACCATTCCTGTTTCCCTGTGTGGGGTCAGTTTGGAGCGGGAATTCCGGCTGTTTCCGTGGAGATGCTGAACTGCAGCTCTGCCTGTGGTTTTATCTGCAGTGAAAAGGCAGCCAGGAGTTCTTCCTCCATTGGAGGGGGAGATTTTGGGGGTTCTGAAGGCGTTTTTTTTACTTTTAAAAATCTGGGAACCCACTGGGAAGTTTTGTCTCCAGCAGTTTTTTTGCAAAGTGATCCCTTCAATGAGAAAAACGTGGAATTTTAAGATCTAGGAGAAGGTGAAGGGGTTTTTATTGTGGTTGGTTGAAGGGGAGGGATCATCTCTGAGAGCAGGTAAAGGTTGGAAAGGACAGGTCAGGGTTGGGAAGGACAGGTCAGGGTTGGAAATGAGAAGGTCAGGGTTGGAAAGGACAGGTCAGGGTTGGGAATGAGCAGGTCAGGGTTGGGAATGAGCAGGGCAGGGTTGGGAATGAGCAGGTCAGGGTTGGGAATGAGCAGGGCAGGGTTGGGAATGAGCAGGCTGAGATTGGGGAAGGGTGTGGAGCACAATTCCCATGAGGAGAGGCTGAGGGAGCTGGGGGGGCTCAGCCTGGACAGGAGGAGGCTCAGGGGAGACCTCATCCCTCTGCACAACTCCCTGCCAGGAGGGGGGAGCCGGCTGGGATGGGGCTCTGCTCCCAGGAAGCAGCAGCAGGACAAGAGGGCTGGACCTCCAGCTGGGCCAGGGGAGGTTCAGGTGGGATGTGGGGAAGGGATTCTTTCCCTGGAGAGTGCTCAGCCCTTGGAATGGGCTGCCCAGGGAGGGGGTGGATTCCCTGTCCCTGGAGGTGTTTCAGGACAGGCTGGATGTGGCATCAGCGCCATGGGCTGGGAACCACGGCGGGCTTGGAGCCAGGGTTTGACTGAATGATCTCAGAGCTCTTTCCCAACCCCCACTGATTCCCTGATTCCATGATTCCATGATTCCATGATTCCATGATCTCCCAGCCTGCTGGTGCTACTGGATCAGGGGTGGAAAGAATCTCAGCTCCTCCCACCTTTGCCCTTTGCGGGCAGGGGAGAGGAGAAAAAAAAAAGGAGATTCAGGGGTGGGGGCTGAACTGGAGGTAAAATCAGATCCATCTCAGGGCCTTCAATCCACCCAGAATGGGGAATGTCCAGGGGGAAGGAGGCTGAGCTGGCACATAAATCAGAGGGGCACATTTGATGGGGCTTAAGTAGCCTCATTTCCTCCTGTAAACAGCCCTCTGGCCAGGCTGGAAGTGATAAATCACCAGGGATGTTGATTCACGGGATCCTCAGGATTGATGGGCTCTGGGAAGGCTCCCTGGAGTTTTTCCTTCCAGCCCTGGCTGGTTATTTTTAGCCCTTCTGGGTTGCTGTCAATAAAAAAAGAAGTGGAAACGAGTGGAAATGCGGGAGTGGCGATGGGTGAATCGACTCCCTGGTGGTTTTGTCTGGCTTGGATTGATGGGGAGGGGGAAAAAAAGAGAAAAAAAAATTAAGGATAAGGATAAACCTGGAGTAGGAGGTGTGAAATCCTCCAGTTCTTAATGAACTGCGGTTTGGGAGGGTTTTTAGTGATGTGGCAGCTTTGAAAACAGGGTTTGGGACTGAATTAAGTGGGATTTTGGGGGCGGGAATATTGGCTGCCCTTAAAGCAAGGACGATCCTGCACGAGCATTTTGCAAGGGTGTCCTGGTAGGAAGCTTTTCTATATCTATAAATGTTATATTTTTATATATATCTATATTACAGAATCTTAGGATCAGCCAGGTTGGAAAAGAGCTCTGAGATCATCAAGTCCAAATGTATATCTATAAATATATATTGTATTATATAGAATAATATGTATTATATAAATGTATTTATTTATTATATTTTATATAAATAATATAATTATATACAGTTTAATAATATAAATATATTTATTGATATCAAGGCAAACCCTGCACAAAATCTGGATTGAGCAGGAGTTGGATGTTTGGGGAACCCTTCCTGCCTCTTCCTTCCCTACAATCCCTGAATTTATAAAATTTATTAAAAAAACCCCAGAGAACCAAAAAAAAAACCAGACAACAACCAAAGAAAAAAAAAACCAACACAAATTCTGAAGTTCCATCCTGTAGGAATAATTTATAGTTAATTTTATAATTATTTTACGAGCCGGAGCTCGTGTTGGTCCCGTCCCTGCTGTGTCCCCGCCCCACAGGCGTTTCCATCCCTGACTTTCCATCCAGGAATTACTCCTGGCTGTGGGGAAATTTTCTCTCCAGAGGGCTTTTTGTCCATCTCTCCGGGCTGGTGGGAAGGGATTAAAATGCTGCTCCTTTGCTGCTGCTCCCTGAAATTTGGGAAGCTCCTCCTCACCTGGGATCTCCCTCTGGATCGGGGATGATGGGGAGGGCTGGAATTTTCCTTTCAAAGCACATTTAAACAGGATTTCAGGAGCGAATTCCAGCAGTCCCTGGGCTTTTTCAGAGCACATTAATTTCCTAGAAGGGTTAAAAAATGAGAGAGAGTTTCCCAGCAGAGTTTTCCGAAGGGTTTTGCTCTCCCTGCTGCTCTGGGAGTGAACAGGGTCGAGCTGGACTCGTGTGGCAGGTCCCTGCTCCCAAGGTTTTTTAGTGCAGGGAGAGGGGAAAAAAGGGGGAAAGATGCAGCTGGATTTACCAGGATTGAGCGTGGCAGTGCCTGAAATCATGGAAATCACTGCCAAACAAAGGGGAAGGATGAGCTGCAAGGCTCCCCCCCAGGAGTCGTGGCGGGCAATGATGCGGGGAATGACGCCCGGAGCAGCTGCCTCCCGGTGTTCCTGCTCAAATATCCCTTCATCTGCAGAGGAGCAGGGGGAAAACTGCCTGGAATGGGCCCTGGAGTCGCTGACAAATGGATGGGGAGTGTGGTTGGAAGGGAGGATGGGCACTGGCAGCCAGGATGGGGAGGGAGTTTGGATTAAAGGGAAAATCAGGCTGGGGATGGGATGGGATGGGATGGGATGGGATGGGATGGGATGGGATGGGATGGGATGGGATGGGATGGGATGGGATGGGATGGGATGGGATGGGATGGGATGGGATATCAGCCAGGGATAGCTGCTTCCATAATGTGGGGGATGTCCCTGAGATGGATTTAAAGCTTGGATTGTGCTGTCCTGGGTTATGTGGGGCCCCAAAAGTGCAACCTCATCCTGAGTCAACCTTTGACTAAACCCAGGATGAAACATTCCCAGCAAGGTTTGACTAAACCAACCAGGGTGAAACATTCCCAGGAAGGTTTGACTGAACCCAGCAGGATGAAACATTCCCAGCAAGGTTTGACTGAATCAACCAGGATTAAATAGTCCCAATAAGGTCTGATTTAAACCAACCAGGATGAAACATTCCCTGGAAGGTTTGATTAAACCAACCAGGATTAAATAGTCCCAGGAAAGGTTAAACTGAACCAACCAGGGTGAAACATTCCCAAGAAGATTTGACTAAACCCAGCAGGGTAAAAACATTCCCAGGAAGGTTTGATTAAACCATCCAGGATGAAACATTCCCTGGAAGATTTGACTGAGCCAACCAGGGTGAAACATTCCCAGCAAGGTTTAACTAAACCAGCCAAGATGAAATAGTCCCAGTAAGGTTTAAACTGAACCAAGCAGGATGAATCATTCCCAGGAAGGTTTGACTGAACCAACCAGGATTAAAGAGTCCCAATAAGGTTTGATTAAACCAACCAAGATGAAACATTCCCAGCAAGGTTTGACTAAACCCAGCAGGATGACCCATTCCCAGTGAGATTTAACTGCCCCCAGCAGGCTGACCCATTCCCAGGAAGGAGAGGGTGATCCTGGGGCTCCTTTCCAGGGATCCGCAGGAGGAGGGAGGTGCCTCCTTCCCCCTCCTTCCCCCCAAAAAAAAAAAATCCAGGAGCAAAGTACAAAAGCCGCGCCTTGTTTATCGGAGTGGTTGCTCATTTAAGGTAATTTTCTGCCTGAGTGGCGCCTTTCTCCTGCAGCGCCGGGAGCCCGGGATTAGCATTCAGGCCGGGCTTGGGAATGGCAGACCCTGGAGGCATCGCTCCATTATTCAGAGCCCCGGGGAGGCCTGCCTTGTTTTTTCCCATTTCCCGGCTTTTCTAATTGCCTGTGTGTTTTTCTCGCTGCCTGCCTCGCGTGTTGGGTTTTTCGTGCTCTCCCGGGTGGGTTCTGCTTCGGGTTTGGGAGGGTGGTTGTTGTTGTGGGGTTGTTTGTTTTTATTTCCCCTCTTTTCTCCTTTTCGAAAAGCTCCTCCCTCCTCCCCCCAAAGCGAAACGACACCCAAACAAGTTCTAAGTGCCCACAAAACCCTCAGGCGCTGAAAAAGGAGGAATCTGGGATTTTAGGGGTTTTTAAACTCGTGGAATTTTATTATAATCCCCTCTTTGGTCTCAGCTGAGTCCCAAACCGCGTGGTCAGGGTTTTTTTTTTTTTGGTGGGACGCTGCTGCTCTAAAATCCCGAGCAGAGCTTGCCCTTCCCGCTCCACTCATCCCATCTGCGGGACCTGGATGGGATTTTGAGGCTGGGAAATTTCCCTGCTGGTTGTCCCCGAGGCAAGGAGTGACCCCCAGGTGACCACACCAACATCTCCTCCTCTTCCTCCTCCTCCTCCTCCTCCTCCAGCCTTTTGTTGCCCAAGGACTTCCCAAGGGCTTCCAGGTTCCTTTGTGTGTGTGAAAACCCCTCCAGGGGTTTTTCCTGCCTTGCCAATCCTCCTGAAACGACCGATAAACTTCCCTCCCATCCCTCTAAACTTCCCTCCCATCCCTCTCCGGGGTCGCTGCCTCCCTCTTTGCACCTCGAGCCGGGGAGGATCCGGGGGTGAAGGTGGATGAAGGACAATCAATCCTCTACAAACCTTCCCTGTCCTCTCCCTCGTGCCCTGCTTGCTGGGAATTTGATGCTTGACATCCCATAATTAGCCCCATCCGACCCTGAGGGCTTCAAACTTGTGCCTTTGGAGAAAGGCAGCGGTAAATTCTGGGATGCTGGGAATTCTGGACCCCTCCTCCCAGCTTCCAGAGGGGCAGGAGCTCCTGGCTGGACGAGCTCCAGCAAATCCTGGCTCCTTTTTGTGTTCCCTCCACGCTTTGTCTTCCCCTCTGAGTCGTTCCAGGATCATCCCTTTGGTTTCGGGGGATGGAACGATCCAAGGAGATTCCAGTCAGGGCAGGGAAATTCCCAGCGTGATCCCCTCTCTTTTTTGGAGGGTTTTGTCACTCCTGGCTGGGGTTTGGTGGCCTCTGTGCTCCCACCTTGAGGGCCTCGATGGGGATTATTTATTTCAGCTCCATGAGGTGTCTCTGCCCATGGAATGGGAGGAGTTTTGAGGTCCCTTCCCACCCAAACCATGCTGGGAGTCTGGGATAAAGGGTTACACTCAGGATCCACTCAGCGGGGTTTTTATGGAATGTGGGGATGGAAAAGGCGGGAAAGGGGAAGGGAGACCCTTCCCTGAGTGCCGAGATTCCCAGGGAACCCCCCCTTGTTCCCAGAACTCCTTCCCAGAGAGGAGTTGGGCTGGGGATGGATCCAATGTCAGGCTCTGGATCCAGGCTGGGAGAGCTGGGAATGGCCAGGCTGGAGCAGGGAAGGATCCAGGGAGAGCTGGGAGCCCCTTCCAGAGCCTGCAGGGGCTCCAGGAGAGCTGGAGAGGGATTTGGGATCAGGGCCTGGAATGGCAGGACACAGGGAATGGCTTCCCACTGCCAGAGGGCAGGGAGAGATGGGAGATTGGGAAGGATTCCTGAATCCCTGGCAGTGTCCAAGGCCAGGCTGGAACAACCTGTGATAGTGGGAGGTGGAGTTGGAATTAAATGACCTTTGAGGTTCCTTCCAACCCAAATCCCATCCTTTGATTCCATGGGGCTGCCACTGAGT